GACCTTGTTCTGGGAGCCCTCCCCAAGCAAGCAGGATCATCCCCCTGTCACCTGCCAAAAACCAAGCACTCAACACCCTGATCACTGAAGGACTAGAAAACAGCATCATCAGACAAACCACTTTGCCCTGGGCAGCACCAGTGCTGTTCACCGGGAAGAAAGACGGCAACTTACGCCCATGTTTTGACTACTGGAAGCTCAATGCAGTTACAGTGAAGAACAAGTACCCCCTGCCTCTGACGATGGACCTGGTTGACAGCCTACTTGACGCCAACACTTTCACAAAGCTTGACCTGAGAAACGCCTACGGAAACCTACGTGTTGCGGAGGGTGATGAGGAGAAGCTAGCTTTTGTCTGCCGACAAGGACAATTCACACCTCTGACTATGACATTTGGACCAACAGGAGCACCAGGCTACTTTCAATATTTCATGCAAGACATCCTGTTGGGACGGATTGGGAAGGACACGGCAGCTTACCTGGACAACATCATGATCTACATGCAGAAGGGAACTGACCACCAAGCGGCAGTCATGGGGGTATTGGAGACACTTAGCAAGCATCAACTTTGGCTGAAACCGGAAAAATGTGAATTCTCTAGGCCAGAAGTGGAATACTTGGGACTTTTGATATCATGTAACCGGCTGAGGATGGACCCAACTAAAGTCAAAGCTGTGTCCAAATGGCCACCGCCTAAGAATGTGACTTAACTGCAGCGTTTTATTGGCTTCTCAAACTTCTACTGGCAATTCATTGACCACTTTTCAGGAATAGCTTAACCTCTCCATGACTTGACAATGGACAAAACTCCCTACGTCTGGGATGACTGCCGCAACAAGGCCTGTGAAACCCTGAAAACCGTGTTCACCACGGCACCCGTACTGAAGATAGCCAACCCGTACAGGCCTTTTGTCCTTGAATGTGATTGCTCAGACTTTGCACTTGGTGCTGTCCTATACCAGATCTGCAACAAGGATCAAGAACTTCACCCGGTGGTGTATTTATCCCAATCTTGACTTTGAGATTGTTTTCTGACCGGGCCGGTGTGGTAGTCAAAAATGTGAAAATTAAAAGTTTTTTCTTTCTTTTTTTCCTTATATATATTTTCTTCATGTTATCACTCAATCACTCTCAGACATCACACCATACGGCTCAAGAACTGGACTCTACGGACAAATTCACCCTTGGTCACCACGGAGGCTTCACTGGAACACACCTGGATCAACTCTTACCCAACACTGGACAACATATCACAAGGATTTCACCCATCATTACATATCACCAAACCCAATTACAACCCTCAAGCTACACAGACACCCTCAGTACAGTATAAAATCATTTACATACATCTACACTCTTTACATTTCACTTCTACATATTACATCATACCTGAAGCCTAAATTAGTGTATTTTCCATGCATGAAAGCTGCAGCTTACACCACCACACTCACTTGTAAACACATCAGAACCTGACCAATCAGAATCACTCATTCAGCTGCTTGGATCACCACTTCAACTCTTGTACATGTCTGACCAATCACATTCACTCATTCAAATTTTGTATGTAGCTAAAAATACCTCATGTAATAGCCCAGGCCAGCCAAAATCACTCATTACTGGCTGCCCTGGAGCTAAATTCCCTCACTGTTGTATATATAAGGAGGCTCTCCTCCCAGTTGTTTAATCCTCAGTCAAGTAACACTCAAGCAATATTTGACCACCCTTACACAAACACTTTAAAAGCGCCAACCAAACCAAATCAAAAACCCTTCATCACACAAACTCATTCCTGAACTTTACCCTATCACTTGATTAAAACTTGCCAAGCTGAGCTTGGTGGGTCTTGTTATCTGATAGTATAGAAGGGCAGAGCTTGCACCTCCACCATCCCCTTCTCCATTCAGCAAAAAGGGTCTCACAACCACTTTTTGAGCCTTACACCGGCAGTCATCCAAACCGGATGCTTTGTCTAGACAACCCAACCTAGCACCTTCAAAGGAGGACAAGCTCACCTTTGGGCAGATTTTGAGACCCAAGAACATCACCCCTGACACATTTGCTGAAGTGGCCGAATTTGACTGCTGGTTTGAAGACGAGTCTGTGGATCTGGATGACCCCGAACATTGGTTCCAAGTGGAAATTCTTGGTGTGGAGGAGCCCAACACTCCAGCAGAGGATATTCCAACAGACAGCGAACTGATAAGCTAAATCCGATCTCTGACTCCATCTGATGCCAGACTGACTCAATTGATTTCAGCCTGTGAGAACCCAGTTTCCAGTCGAATGAAAGAGGCCACCAAGCATTACTTGGTGAAGGATGGAGTGCTCTACAAGGGTGGACGGATTGAAGTGCCACGGAATGAGGACCTCAAGACCAAGATTCTGAAGAGCCGCCACAATAGCAAGTTAGCAGGACAAAGATGCTCTCACTGATACGCCGCAGCTTCATGTGGCCATCCATGAAAAGTTTTGTCAACCGCTATGTGGATGGTTGCAACTCTTGTCTTAGAGTAAAATCCTCAACCCAGAAAACATTTGGAACGTTGGAACCACTTCCCATTCCAGCGGGCACGTGGACTGAAATTAGCTATGATTTGATAACAGACCTTCCCCTATCCAACAATTGTGAAAGTATCCTCACTGTGATTGACAGACTGACAAAAATGGCCCACTTCCTTCCTTGCAACAAGTCCATGAACTCCGAACAGCTTGCAGATCTTATGTTGAAACAGGTTTGGAAACTCCACAGCACCCCAAGAGGAAGTGTTTTTATCTCTCAGGTGACACAAGAGTTGGACAAGCAACTTGGAATCCGGCTTCATCCTTTGACTGCCTACAATCCTTGGACTGACGGACAATCTGAAATCGCAAATAAGGCGGTGGAGCAGTACCTAAGGCACTTTGTTCAGTACTGACAGGACAACTGGGAACCCCTTTTGGCGACGGCGGAATCTGCTTACAACAACAATTATCACGTCTCAATTGGAATCTCACCGTTCAAGGAAAACTACAGTTTCAATCCTTCATACGGCGGGATCCCGTCAAGTGAACAGTGTCTACCGGCGGTTGAAGACAGACTCAAACAAATTGATGAAGTCCAGTCAGAACTCAAGTTATGTTTAGAAGCAGCTCAAGAATCAATGAAGACCCAATTTGACAAAGGAGTAAAGGACACCCCAAATTGTAAAGTTGGTGAAGAGGTTTGGTTGAACAGCAAGAATATTTTGAAAACAAAACCCAGCCCCAAGCTGGACCACCAATGGCTGGGACCATTCCGTACAAACTGGCTTTGCCATTATCCATGCAGGGTGTTCACCCGGTGTTTCATGTTTCAGTACTGCGGAAGCGCAACTCTGACACCATCATTGGGAGGCGCTACCCATCACCAGAGCCCATACAGGTCAACAACAAGGAGGCATAGGAAGCAGAAGGCGTGCTGGAATGTTGGAAGAGAGGGAAGAAGGTCAAATACTTGGTCAGTTGGAAAGGATTTGGACCAGAGGAGAACTCGTGGGAACTAGTGGGCAACTTGGAACACTGTCAAAACCTGGTTGCCGAATTCAACAACAAATTTCCGGGTGTGGCATCAAGACACAAGAGGTCACGGAGAATGAAGTGAGAGGGCAAGCTTTTTCCCACTGGGTTTTTTAACGCTGCCCGGGGAAAGAATGCAGAGCCAAAAGAGGAGGATTTTTTTTTATACATAGTTAATTTTTTAGATCAACAACGGGGGCGGCTTGGGCATTAAAGGGGGGATAGTGTTATGAGCTGTGGAGTACTGGAACCAGGGATTTTACATATATAGAGAGCCTGTTATGTACATGTCACAAACTTTGAACTTGGAGTTCGTTCGAGATCCACACCTTGTACATTCCTCATCTTGCAATCTACCATCAAGAACCAGAACCCAGAAGATCCCTCCTGCTCTCCCCAGAACACCCATAACAACAATACGGATTTTGTATGGGACCCTAAGACAATGCACATTAAGTGTTTTTGTCATAAAATAGCTCTTGTTGTGAATGCTGGTTTGGAGGAATTGGGTCTTGAATCACCACCACCACCAAAATTGAAGAAATCATTTTTAGGTTCTTTCCCCTACTCCAATAAGATGCCGAAGATAGCCAACACACTGACCATTCAAATTACATGCAATATAGTTGGACTTTGTGATAAAAAAAATCACTGGCTCTTGCGTCTGGAGACAAGAATTTGAGAGACAAGCAGCCGAAAAAGGTTTGAAGAACTTGATTGCTGGTTATGGAATTTGTTGGAATATGAAATACCAAAGCCAAAGTTGTGCCTATGAATCCAGAGATGTATGTTATTTATCCTGTTTCTGCCAGATACATTTACTAATATTCTTAAATTTAGGTTATTGATGCAATACTGCTCAATGAGTATGAAAAATATCAAGATCAAAGAGCCAAATCTAGTTGCAAGGAAAATCCCAAGAAGCTCAGTCCAACAGTGCAACAGATACAAGACATGTATTTGTATCAGATCATATTGTCTTTATTTTGAGCCTGATACCAGTATCAGTATTTTGCTGGTTGGTGAAAAGATTTATTGTCTCGGATTTGGATTTAGAAATGAAAAAAATTGTCTTTGTTTTTTTCTTTTTTCTTCAATACGGCCAAATATCTTGTGTATCAAATACGGTTTTGGTGGGATCAGTCATCTGAGACAATACAGAATACTTGTCTCACTTTTCAAAGATGATACATGTGTATTGTCTCAGGAAAGTGAGACAACACAAATCCAGTATTTTTGGGTATTCAAATTCTGAGACAATATGAATAAACACCTGATATTTTCTCGTATTGTCTCTGTTGCACCATTGCTCAGTCACTTCAAGGAGATTCATTTCACAAGGAAGGAATGGATGATGATGAATGAATTGAATAAAGAGTTAGAAGTAAGTAATTTGTGCAAATATTCAGATCCTAGTTACAATACTGAATTTTATTTTTCAGCCTTTTAACTGTCTGACCAAAATTATGGAGGGTGATGGTCCTACAGGTGCTTTTGTCTTGCTGAAGTATTATCAAACGCTCCTAACTTTGAAGAAGAAAGAGGATAAGTGCAGCCAAGGATACGCAATGCATCCAATGTATGTTAAAAAGATCAAGAAACTCAAGATCTACCATGACGAGGCACTCAAGTGTGAAACTCTCATTATGGCTACCTTACTCCACCCATTGTTTCAATTAAGACTATTCACCCAATGCTGGCCTGAAAAAGCAGACATGGCCAAGAAACTTCTGGAGAAAGAATTTGCAAAGCGTGTGGAGGTTCTGAAGAAGAGGAAGGAAGACAAAATTCAAGTTGTAGAAAATAAAACTCCTCAGGTTGAAGAAGATGATATTTTTGAAATGTTCAATGTGCCTGAAAAATCAAAAGAAGAAAACAAAGAGCTTGATGTATATATCAACAACATGGATCACCTCCCAGGAATCTCTACAAAGTGTCCCAAAGAGCTTTTGTTATGGTTGAAGGTATGAATTTCTCTTTGTTTATCACCCGCATTTGGTTATTGATCTCATTATAATTTGCTTTTGTATTTTTATTTTTTTAGGATCATGCATCCGCCTACCCAGTTCTTGCATCATTAGCCAAGGACTACTTGGCATCTTCTGCATCCTCATGTGCAGTTGAGCATACTTTCTCAGCTGCTGATGTTTTTTCGACTGGCAGTGGAGAATTAAAACCACAAACCATTGAAAGGTGTGTTAGTAGTCATATGTGGTTGAAAGAAGGTATTCAAGTTTCTGGAGATTATACAAAAGCACAAACAGTTGTGCAATCTCACATGTAATTTTTTGAAAAGAAACAGTAGAATCTTTTCTATCTGTGTTTTTTAACCACTTTCACTATCTCTTTTCATCACTAATGCCTGATCATGATTAGCCAGAAAAAAAAAAATTCTTACAGTTAGTTTTTCTTGTTCTTATTTATTCCTAACCATACCTAGCCAAAAAAAAACAAAACAAAAAAATTGTTTCTTCGTTTTTAGTTGATTATTTGTCCTCCTACAGAATAAATGCTTGGTTTTTTTCTTGCTTTTTTCCCAAGAAATTACCTGCAAATCATTTTTTGATTACCATTTCCCATCATATCTGAGCCCCCTACACATTATTATAGCTCAGTAATCAGTTAAGCTAACAGTTAGTGTAACTGAGGGGATCACTACGCTAACAGTTAGTGTAACTTTTCATCCCACTAACCATGCTAAAATTCCACTAACAAGGGATTTGGTTAGTGTTAGTTGTTGTATTTTTTAGTCAGCTAACCAAAATTTTTGCTAACAGTAACTTTTGTGTAGCGTAGCTTAAAAGGCTAACACTATGGTTAGCATAACTGTCCCACCGTTGTTCCATAGCTACTGCTGCATATCTTCTTTGCCATCAGGTACCCTGGTAGAGACCTCCTTTGGTATTTTGAGTAAACCAAGGGCAAAACACTGGGCCAACAACAGTTTTCCAAACACACATGATTACCAGATCCCAACGTTTGCCACTGCCGGTGTTGAAACTAGCTCTGGAACCTGTACCCGGATCTTCCGGGTATACTCACTCGGTACACTGAGGGTATAGGGCACCGGGATAGCTCATGAGTAGCCCAAACCCCAACAGGTACGTAGTGTACGGTCCATGGGCTACCTTGAAGATACCTGTGGGTATCTCCGGTTTGGCAGGGGGGGGGGGGAGGAGGAGTACGGAGTACTAAGGATACAAGGCCAAATGGCCATTCAGAATAAATCATTTTTTTCATTCTTTTTTCACTTGGAATCAGGACATTCATTCATTTCAATGCAGGCTTGTATGTATGTAAAAAAAACATAAAGGTAGCCAATTGTTGAAATAACATGTTCCTTGTTTTCATCATCATTGTTGGTGTCCTCTTCATCATCATCAAGATCACCATTGATCTCTTCTTCATTGTTTTGTTGAGCATTTCATGGTTGACAACAGTGCTGGTATCCATCATCTTGTTGAACTTCTGGTACCATTCCTTCACACGTAGAAGGTGCTCAATAGCCAATCTGCTGAGACTGTGTTGCTGGGGTCCAATGATAGTTTTTGATTGGGAGAAGACTTGCTTGGAGGGTGTGCTTGTTGCAGGAATCCCAAGGTAACAGGATGCCATCAGGGATAAAGAAGGGTAGACCTTCTTGTTTTGTGACCAGTAGGCTAGGATTTTGCAACTTTTGCATTCATTCACTTTGGCAATATACTGGCTCACCTCTGCCGTTAAGCTGTTTGCTACCAAAGCTTCCCCAAATATGTTGGCCTCAATTGCAGTGAGTTTGCAAGGCTTTAAAGGTTTCATTTTGAGTTTTTTTGGATTCTCCTGCTTGTGAGAGGAAGTCTGATTATCCATTCTACTGGGGCTTTGATCAAAGCTCTTGGCCTTGGACTTGAAGATGGCCAAGGCGTTCTCAGGCTTCATGTCTGGGATGTTATTATCCAAAAGAAGATTTTTTTTTTCAAAGTATGATAATTTGATGTGAGACTTAAGAATAATTGCACAAATTGGAGCCCGCTTCTCCCAAGCTAGAATGAGGTACTTGTTGAGCTTATTGACCATTTTGTCAGCTGCAGGTATGAGTTGAGCCACATTGTACTGCAATCAAATGCAACAGATAGTCTTGATCAAGGCAATGTAGATAGGAAGGTCCACTGTGAGAGTTGGATACTTAGATCAAAATAAGATTTTGGTGACTTTGTGCAGTGGTTTTAAGAACTGAGTGATTTGTTTCAATTTTTCCCATTCAACTGGAAGGAGTGCATATTTTGGTGCATTGCCTCTAGAACCACAGTAAATCAAGCAGACCGATTTCAGTTTGAGTGCACGTTGAAGCATCAGGTAAGTCAAATTCCATCGGGTCCAAACGTCCAACCTCAGTGATTGAACTTCAATCGGTTTTCTGTGTTTGTTCTGTTTATTAAAAAAGTTGATATTTGCTTGGAAAATCTCACAATGTTGAGGTGATACTCGTACATGAGTTGATAGACCATGGATGCAAGAGATAATTGTTTTGAGGTTGACATTGGCACCATTGGGTAAATTTATAATTGCTTCCAGGTCCATATGCACACTTTCAACACTACCTCATATCCAGTACTGGATATGGAGTAAAAAAAACTGAATATTCAGTGTTTTTTTTTTTAAAAAAAAAATGGTGTGAAGAGGTGAACAAAAAAAATATATAAATACTACATATCCAGGTTTATTTTACTGCACATCCAGTGCGGGATATGAAGTTATGTTTCGATGCATCCAATTCAAGGTGACTTCTTGTTTACCGGCCACTTCAGTATTCTTGCATCAAATTCTTTGAGCCCATTGTGGGCAGCAAGATTAATTACACATCATCCCTGACGTGATTTCCCAGATGGGGAAACTATTTTTTCAATTATTTGATAGCAGCTTGTTTTTCATTATTTTTTGACATTGTAAATTTGTTTGCTACACATTGAAAGGTGTAGAATGTAATGGTAAAATTTATTTTCCATAAAAATGATTCCTTTGCATTTTAATTTCTGCTCCCTCTCATTTTATTGATGCAAGCACTGTGGAAAGTTCCTGGTGGTTATTCAACCTTCCAAACTTGAATTTATCGATGGAAAAAGGCAAAAAATGCTATAAGATTCTATTGAGGCCAAATTTGGATTTACAAAAGAGTGTGGGCATAAACAAGCGTAGTTTAGATTTTAAAATGAGCAGAGGGACACAAGCAGGAAATCAGAGGAAGGTACGGAGAACATTAATGAAAAAAGATTAATCAACATCAACAGGAGCCTTTTTGAAGCAAGAAGATCTTCTGACAGGTTGGTAAAAGACTTCTTGACCCAGTTCAACACGGGCTTGTATCCAATCCTCCCAACCCAGTGCTTCATCACTGACATAGTGTTTCCAAAATGTATCAATCCTGGGGCATGGCCATATTTCAGCCTTGAAAGTGAACAAGATGAAATGAGAATAGTCAGGAAAAAGGATCAAAAATATGGGAGGGTTGTTTCTTGGAGTATGCAAAAGAGGAAGACAAGTTACAGGCATCTTTTCCAATAATAAAATAACCGGTCTTTGGTATGTATCGGCAATTAAATAAACATGCGCGGGGAACATCATCCAGTACTTGAGGGGGGCTTGATGTTCCTTTTCTCTCCATGCAATCAAATTGATCACGTCTTTTTGGTCCTCCCCTGCTCCCCATACGTCATCCAAGAACCTTTGGTCTGAATAGGCCTTGTTCGACTCAAATTCTTTCTGCATTTCCTTGCGGATTGAGTCCCATTTGTCAGACTGGCGTCCCAAGCTGACCGCAACTGCTTGAAAGACACAATTCTCATTGCCTTGGATGTTGTGAACGTGTAATTTGTGTGGGATGGCTCCCGCTGGCTTGATGCTGTCTTTGTGCTTATACTAACAAAAGTTTAAGAGGGAAACAGAGGGGATGAACAATGTGCAAAAGAAGTAAGTTTATGAGTTACTCACAAAATCAATCTCCACATTCTTGTTTTTACTCCAAGTCAGTGCCTTGCTCAAAGGGGTTTTGTCAGGTTCATCCACTTCGGTGATCGGTTCCGGTTGTTGCTTGACTACTTTGATGGGCCTAATTTGCAAGGGCTTCTTTACAGTTGGGGAATTGGGTTCTTCTTCCGAATGCTCCTTGTGGGTGAATATGTTTTCACAAAGGGCTCCAATGCCATCTGAAGGATCATCCTCACTCTCTTCATCCGTTTCCATCGCCTACACAAAATTGAATCAGAAGCAGGAAAAACCTTCAGGAGGATATAAGCAATGCACACCTCTGACTCATCCGTGTCATCCTTTTTGGCCGTTTTTTTTTCCTTGGGTGCCCAGGTTTGCGCTTGGGCCCCTCGTCCAATTTGTCCACCTTCTTTGGCCTGCCTCGTTTCTTCTTCTGCCCCTTGACGTACTCAAATCCTGAAGGGTCTCTTGTGGTGGAAGATGTGGTTTTATTTTTACGTTTGGCGCCTTTGGGTCGGCCCTTGCATTGATGATTCTTGTCAAAATTGGGTTCCTCAAGTGCTACAGTCGCATGTGTTCCGTTGAGCAGTTTGTGAATTTTTCCAAGCATGAAGTGTTGTTTGCCAGGTTGAAGGGATTGGAATTTTTGAAATAAATCACTGAGGAATGCGTCTTCATGGTTCTTCTGCTTGGTTTCCGTGGCGTCTTGGTTTTCACTGAGTTCCACCTGTCAAATTATCATGAACAAAATAAATCAGAAACCTCAGGCAAATTTTCTTTGGATTCCCTTGATTTGAATAAAATAAAATAAGCAACTTACAGCTAGATCAGTCTTGACATGCCACTGAGCATGGAAATCATCTGCGGTTAAATTTGCCCCCTTGCGTGTGGAGTTGGAAATCCCAATGTAAGACAAGTAGTTACTAGTGCACGTGGTTGTGGGGGCCTTTGCCAAGTGAAAGGCGTAAACAATCTTCAATGCAAAGTGGGAGATGATTCCGTTAAGATTGGCAATCACCAGAGGCAGGCCAGTCAGTCTTTTGTATTAATGTTGGGCAAATTCGGTGTATCTTTCATGGAGCTGGTTCTCAAGGGAATGGTGAATTTGCTTGATAACAGCCATCAAGGACCCTGTTGATGAGCTGATAAATCTTTTCAGGTATGCATGAAGACTTTCAACTCTTGAGGTGATGTGATTCCCAAAGTGTGG